TATGTGACTTTGTGAATGCTTCCTCAATGTGTTGCTGCCATGGAGAAAATAATGTCTCCTGTAGAACAGCCAAGAATTACAGCTGTCATGGATGATGAGCTCAAAAAGAGAGAAATTGATTGTATCGCTTTAAGAGCCTGACAGTGTGAGTGTGTGACAGATAGGCACAGGACACACAAATGTGAGTTTTACATGATGAGGACTCGCTTCACTTTGGGTTAATGTTATCTCTTGAAAACTTTCCAACAACTCAACAGGATAAGTGCAACATGTTTCATCTCCTAAAAAGTGTTTTCCTCAAACTCTCTTAGAAAGAAGGTAGCTTTACCAACATGCTCGTGTCCTTGCAAAATAATAAGGATGACAAAATGTGTTGGTTACTTTTCGGTTGTTACAGGCTAGAAATGTTGTTATTTCACCTTTCATATATAGATAGGCCTATTTTTCTGCTGGTTCTTCAAAATCCCTGCAAGATTAAACAAAGTTAGGACATTTACACTGTAAATGTCCAAAAGGCTTTTGATCAATGCCATCATCAGACACTTTGTTAGGTCCACCTGTTTAACTGCTTATAAACGCAAGCATCTAATCAGCCAATCACATGACATGACATGTTGATATTGTCAAGACAACCTGCTGAAGTTGAAATCGAGCATCATAATGATGAAGTGACTTTGACTTTAGGTGACTTTGAATGTGTCATGGTTTTTAGTGGCAGACGGACTGGTCTGAGTATTTCACATCTACTGGGATGGCTGATAACAGGCTGATAGGAAGGCAACAGTAACTCGCATAACCATTAAGACCACCACACTGGATGTGGTCTTCTGCTGCAGAAGCTGTTGTGCTGCGTCTGCACTTTTGGGATGTGATAGAACAGGAAATTTTTATAAAGGATGTTCAACCAACAAATCTAAAGCAACTTTGTGATGCTGTCGCGTCTATATGGACCAAAACTTATGAGGAATGTTTCCAGCACCTTATTGAATCCATGCTATAAGAAATTGAGGTGCACAGGAAAGGGAACTCCAACCCATTACTACCAAGGTGTATGTAATAATGTTTCCCTAAGTGTATTTTATGTTCAAAATCCCTTGGCCAAAGATAATTAGAAGTCAGCTTACAAAACACTGTGGAAACACAAATATATTGGGTATGTATTTAGTGTATGAAAAGATGACATGTTTGAAATATTTTGTAATGAAAAGAATCCCAGAGGTACTGTACTGAACCTTGCTGTGTAACTAACATTTTATCATGGGAAATATATCCAGCCGGTGCCATGCAGCTCTTTACACAAACGTCCTTTTAGTGCAAAGTAAATGTTCATATCAGACATGAGGAGCAAATAAAAACTGTGTGAAAACTACGCTGCATACAGTTACTCTACCGTCAACTTAAATGCAATTATTGTCTGTTTGAGGTTAAGATTCAAGACAGAAAACACTGTGAAATCTGTACAGCAGCATAGATTTTTTTTTAAATTATTATTTCTTTCATGCACATTTATGCATGCGTGTGTGCTCCAGATGATCATTAATTATCATTTTTGCTTGTTTCAGATATTTTTCTGTGAGTAATACTTCAAATAAAACGTTCGCTTTTTCTTTCTTTAGTGTTCTCCTAAACACTGTATGTTCAGTGAGTTCTTGTTTCCTGTTGCAGTGTCACAGAGCAGCAACAAAACGCTCAAGTTTTTGTCCGTTATCGGTCCACTGTGTGTCGTGGACAAAGATAATACACAAGTTTATCACTCTCAGCTCTTACTACACACAGTTTGTTTAAATCACAGCATCTCTGACACGAATGGTAAATATAAACCTCGGTGTTACTGCTGATCAGATTGGCTGTTTGTCAGTGTAACGGGCCCGGGGTTGATGTGACTTTTATTCACTTATCATTTGAAATATGGGTTTGCATTCGATTTGTCCATAAACTGTGTCATTCTGGGCCTCCCGCTTTATCAGTGCAGCATGGGTCTAAATGCAAACACAGTCTTTGTGCAGTGTAGCTCCTCTCGTATGAGGTGCACTCTCCACACTCCTTTTCTGTGTTTTTATTAAACATTGGAAATTTCTTGCTGGTTAAGGAGTTGGTAAGTTTGCAAAAATGCAGCGATGTCAAGAATAGCTAATTCATGAGACATCACAGCAGTGCGTTCGGTTTTATTAGAGGACAATGTTCCACAAAAATTCTAAGGCTAAAGAGTTTTGCAGTATAAAATAAGACTTGAATAGATATGCTGGCATATTTCAAAAGTGAGAAGTTTGAATGTGAACATACTTCCAAAAGTGTTACTGAAAAGCACAGTTTTCTGCAGAGTGCAATGTGTTCTAGGTTGGACCATACAAATATTGTCTGATCCCTTGAGAAAAGTTCCTTCATGCTTTATACTGCCTTTCTATATGGATTTATTTCAAGTCTCATCTTTGTATGCATTTCTATGGCAGTATGTTTCAAAAGGCTCTGTGATGGAGACTTAACAAACATCACCCTTCTCCACCGGCAAGGAAAAGTTTGCAAGGTTGCCTGGAAGAGGTCAGAAAAATATCGAACAGCCTCCCGCTCGCTCAGAAGTCTGAGAATGTCAGGTCAAAGCCGTGTGTAAATTCCACTTCATCACTTGGCGTATAATGGAATTCAAGTTACAGATTAATTGAGTGAGGGAACAGACGCTTTCAGATAATTTTCCCACCCACTAACAAACAGAGCATGTGTAGTATACGTCTGTCCAACTGGCTCTTTACATTCTGGAAAGCAAATGGTCTTTCAATCTATAAATGCTTTCATCCAGAGAGCTGAGGACTTCAGCCTTACTGTAGAAGTGTATTTGCATACAAACAAGCACTTAAAAACAAGCCCTCTGTAAATAACTTACTGAAATCTGAGAAATACATGTGGCTGCACATCTTATTGTTCTAGCTGACAGGAATATCATAAGCTAACCGGTCAATTATTCATCATTTTATCTGGTACTCATTAGATTAAAAATGTATGTCTTCTTTAATTATTTATCCAGCGTGTGTGCTGCAGCGGTAAGGATTCGATTGGCTGGAGATATGGCGTTATGCATTTGTGATTAACATATTCAAATTTATCTGCAAACATTACTACAATTTAGTAATCAGGGTGATTGCCTGTGGCAAATTAGAATAACCTTTTGTCACCCCACACATCAAGTTTGTGATTAGGCCAATTAAAACTCGAGTGTTGCTGCTCTATCTACACTTTACTTTTTTGGAGACAGAAATATCTGCAGCCTGTTTTTGCACAAGTCATTTAACCATTCAAGCTTAATGATGTATCTTCCCTCCATTTACATGGAGTTTGGTAGGTTAAGTCTTTTTTCCTTTACTGCTTTTGAGGATCAAAATTGATCGATAGTGAAGGTAAACTTAGGTCGGGCAGAATTTCACGCGCAACTGATCCTTCTGTTAATTGTAAGCCGCGTTCAGTGATGGAGAATCGCTGCTTACCTACAGATGGCAGCTAATTGTTTTGTGGTCTGTGTTTTATGAGAAAAGAGAAAGTTAAATATTAAATGTATTCTCGGTTAAGCCGCAAAACCCATGTTTGGACAAAAGGTTAAAATATATTTTGGCAGTAAATGAAGCAATTGTAATATTATTATATTTAATAGTATATTTGCTATGTGGTAAATCATACATTCTTTCAAAGAAAAATATGTTTAATATATGCATCAAATAGCTGTAGGCCAATATTTATCATTTGTGCAGATATGATTGACATGTAGAAGTACATTTAATAATGAATATTTCAATAATTATTTAAAAAAAAAACATTTTTAAAAGTCCAGCTCAAAAAAATAGTAGTTAACAGTTCTACGAGTATATGCATAGCCACCTGTGGTGTGGCCCCTGGCTCCGCCCCTATTGTTCAACTGTCCAATTATCCTTTTTCTGTCCTCACTTTTCCTGTGCAGAGGTCTGGATTGTTGAATCGGTGTCTTTCCCTGCGAAAACATCACGACAAACATGTCCACATATAGTCTCACTTACGTGTAATTTAGTCTCAGATTTTCTGTGGGAGAAATCTGGCGCTTCTGGAGGAAAACCCACACAATTTGTCTGCCACCAACATTTAAACACTGACACTAAGTGACGATGCAAGGGACAAATTAGCAGGATTCAAAGCATTGAATCAAAACAGCTGCAGCAGGAGGTGCAGTGGCATTTAATATTTCATTCTTCCTCTTGCAGGTTGTCAAAGCCTATAAAAAATAACACCGCCTGTTCTGTTCACTACATGACATTTTTCCATCTTTCAGTATTGCTTTAAAACCATTTTTCACAGTTGTCAGTGACACTGGACAGCTGTGCATCACGATACCTTAAACTAGCTTGGAATCAAGCAGCCTGCTAATAACCATCAATTCAAGCATTTTCCCTTTGTGTTTCCATATAGTCATATCAAACAGTTCTCAACTTTGATGACAGAACGTAAATATTTCATTTCTAGAAGCCATTTTCTCAAGGAGCAAAATATATTCTGCAGCACTGCTCAAAACACATTATTAATTTATAGATTTGAAACCCCACCAATGCTTCCTCTGTCTGATTTTATACCTTTCAGAGTTGTGCACATCTTCGAGCATCCTATAAAGTCCCTGTCTGGATATCACTTTGCATGCTAGGTCACCCTCTGCTTCTTGCCAAGAGAGAAAGTACACAATTTAATGGTGGAAATTAGACAGAAAAATCTGGTTTTAGGTTTTTTGACATGCCAAAAAATTCTGTTTTGTTTTGTTTTTGGTTAGCGTACATGTGATGTTGTACGCTAATGATGCTGGCTTCCTGCAGCTACTTCTATGATTCACACATCCAAACCTTTGGGATTTATATTTTTCTCCACCACTGTCACTAAGTGTATAGCCGACATCTCATGGATTGCATACTCTTTTGAAATTATGCATTTCAGTGTGCGTAGTTTCAGCTTCACTCCACTTCTTATATGTTGTACGTGGTTGTCTGTACATTTAGTGATGCTGAGGACTGGTTCTGCGAGTGCCCCCCATTATACACCGGACGGCTGTGCCAGATCACCTCCTGTGAGCGCAACCCCTGCAGTCACGGAGCCACATGCATCCCGAAGTCACCATTAGAGGCCGTTTGTCTGTGTCCCTATGGAAGACAGGGTCTGCTGTGTGACCAAAGTAAGTGATTCACAGAGCAGCTACACACGGAACAATGCAGGGCAGATGTAGCAGCTTCATTAAGAGAGTGATCTGCAGACATGTAGTGAATTAGAGCCTTGAGCATTTGGTAGAATCAGCGTCTGTTGTTAAATAAAACGATTAATGAAATTAAATTTTGCTGAAAAAGCAAAAAAATCTTCCTCCATCCATGGAGTCAGATAATCAGGACAAAAGTTGTGGCTACTTGTTTGAATATTTTAGCCTATTTCAAGTTTATAAGATCTTATTTCCCAACAGCTGTCGTTTCAGCACTGTCTCACATATATATTTTTTTCTTATGTCAGGCTGCTCCTCTGCATTAGTAGTGTTTTAAATGTAAGGGTTATAAGCAGTTTACTACAATAACTTTTGTGTTTGGTACTATTTGCAAATGTTGCTGACACTTAATTGAGAACTATCATGCAAATTTCTAACTTCCTATTTTTATTCTTAGACTATACTAGAGTAGCTTTGTATGATTCAGCGATCAAAACAATCCTTATAGCGACACAAATATATACAAATGTTTACTTAAATCTTTTAACAAGAGGTGCTGAAGGTTCTGCAGTGTCTTTTAAATTGACATGGCAGATTTATTAACTTCTCGTTAGTGATCATTCATGATTGACTACAAGTCAGATTTGTTTGAGAGCACTCACTGAAATACTCAAAATAATGTGAAAATTCAAGAACTTACTGAAGATCTAAGGAGAATTGTAGATTTACAAAAGCTGGGAAGGTCTCTTGGAGCCATTTCTGGAATGCAAATTCAAATATCATCACTTCAAACAATTGTACAAGTTATTCACATGTGTTGATGCTTTGCCAATGTTTGGAAGAAGAGCCAGATTGTCACCTTAAAATGAGAGAAATTTGATTAGGATGTTCAGGAACAACTCAGGAATCAACTGGAAACTCCTGGAACACCAGTGTCACTGTCCACAGTGAACTAAGTTTTAAATCACCATTGACTCAAAGCAAGAAAGAAGCTGCTGCTCCAAAATCGAAAAGCCACATGCTTTCTGGACAAAGGTTTTATGATCTGATGAGACAAAGATTGTTTGGAGAAGTAAAGGTGATGCATTCAAACCTAAGAATACTGTACCGGCTGTCAAGCATGGTTGTGGTAGCATCATGCGCCGGGGCTATTTTGCTGCCTATGGTTCTGGGACATTGCACAAATTCTTCAACTTCACCTCAGATCAACAAATAGACAGTTGACAAAGTTGGATGTTCCAACAGAACAATGATCACAAACACACATCAAAACTGTTTTTTGAATAGATAAATCAGGCTAACATTAACCTCACTCCTAGTGAAAATTTCTGGACAACCCTTAAAAAGCCAGGTCTGTGCCAGGAAACCAAACTATTTAAATGAACTCCACCAATTCTGCCAAGAAGAGTGGTTAAATATCCAGGCAGTCTTGTGCCAGAAGCTATCAAATGTTTCTGGTTAAGATGCAGCTTGCTGAGGAACATTGAACCACATATTAGTGGTGTTGTATGTATATATTTAAGTTTAATCTTGTATGTTTTAGAGAAAATCCTACATAAATTCAAACTTGTGCACCCAATTCTTTCTTTTTTACATTCATTAAAGATGTAAACTCTACCCACAATCCTAAATTGAAAGAGCAACGTCTCTGATTGGTGGCGGTCGCTGTTATGTTGGAGGTGTTTAAATCCACAAAGGTTACTTAGTGTAGGTCACGTAGCATTGTGCCATATCAATAACTAAGTTATTCTTTACTACAGATGTGCAACACAAACTACAAATTATATTCAGTTATCACTGGCTACCAAGTTGTGATTCATGAGTCTTTAGCCAATGAGCATGCAGTGACATACCACTAAATCCTTAATTTTGAAATATAGCATGATGGATTTACAAATGATACTTAACATATCCCAGAATGAATGACTAAACCTATAAACTGAGTAAACTGCATCCTTGTCTTTCACTGTCCATGACAGCTAACGTGGTTTAAAAATGTTTTTGATTTCAGTCAAATGTTTTAGAAAAATGAGATACCTAGAAATGATTAAATAGATTTTTTTTTTATACAATTATCTTTCTATTCTATGATGGTTTCTGTATTACTTTATGTGTGTGTTTTCCAAAAAGTAATGCCATAAAGAAGAGGGCTTCACAGGTCATGGTTCTCAGAAACAAAAGGTTTTGCTTGACTAAACTGGCTGTGGTGGCAGCAGGGTGCTTGGCATATAAGTCGCTCAGCCATGCCACAGCCCCTGTCAGAATCTCAGCACCCACATGCCAAACACAGAAATTTAACCTTCCAGTTTCACACTAAGTATATGGCTGACATTTGAATTTTAATCCTGATAACATCAGACAAGATCAGAGACAAACTGATCACTCCTAAGGTCTCCTGCCTTCCAGGACTACTTGCTACTTTGGAGCTTGTTTCCTAACGTGGTGCCCTTAGCAAAATACCAGCCGTGATAGCACGGCAGCAGGGCCGTCTTTTATTTATTTTTGTCCTTCTATTGTGTCTATTAGGACAGATGAAACAGTAACAATATGGTTTGTATTTGTTTTCTTAATGTCATATTTTCAGTTCTTTGGTTCAGTTCTCATCAGGTGGTCTGAACAACCAGGAAATGGAGGAAAGGCAAGACTAGGAAGCAAAGCTGAAATGCCTCCAGAATCAAGTTCATGAAACATTCATGCGTATTGAAGATGCCTTCACTCAGAAATATTAATGTTGTACCTTTGTACACAAGTTGGAATACCTCCTGTTAAAGATTCATGATTGGAATTGATAGAAATAAAACATGGAAAATGATGTACTGCATTTTCAGTATATGATACTGTCAGTATAGCACATGTTCTTACAGATACAGATTTATATATTTTACTCCACACTTAGCTATAGTGTGTGTCTTACACGAGTCTTGTCTGGTAATTATACAGCTAAATGCTGTTTCATCTTTATAATTTTATGTGTCAAATTGGTGAAATGACATATTTTGTTATGTTTGAACTGTGCCAAAAAAGGGGGAAAAAACGATTTCATGACATTTTAGTGTTACTTTCGTCTTCTTGACTCTTTCTGGAAGTTCACTTCTAGTTCACGGACACTTCCTGGGGTTTTTTTGCACACACAGCTCTGACTACAGATGTTCAGGGCATGTGCAGGTCATGGACCTTTCAGATTTAGTCCATGTTTCTTATTTCAGCTTGGATTATCAGCCTTTTGGGGGATCATTATCCTGTTGTCAGGTTTTTGTTGTTTTTTTAAGTTGTTGTTTTTTTCTCTTTTTTTTGCTTTCATGCAATGCTTGAAATGATTTTTTTCTATTCATTTAAAATTTGGGTGCCACACAACCCTAAAGCAGTGCATTTCCAGTGCGACGTCTTATCAAATTGGGTTCAGTTTTCTTCAACCATACAATACTATTGGTATTATATGGTTTTAGGAGCCAGGTTTTAACTTTAGCTTTTGACAGTTTCCAGCAAACCTTAGTTGAATACTTTTTGGGATGGTGACACAGGTAAGGTTGTTCCATGCATACCCTGTTTATCAACACACTGCACGCCATCAGCTAACCCATCCCATGGATCTGCTTTGTCTTTCAGCATAGCAAATTGCACAGCTTTATCAGAAAGTTTTCTTGCTCTTCCAGATCTTGTCTTGACTTCCACATCTTCCATCCTTTGCCACTTCTTAATGACATTTCATAGAGTAGAAATTGCAAGCTTGAAGCGCCGTGATATCTTTTTATAGCCTTTCCCTCCTTTGTAGGCATCAATTAGCTTCATTTTCAGATCTCAGTACTTGCTTAGAGGAGCTCATGGTTTTTGAGTGCTACCATCAGCTCTAGCAGTCATCAGCTGACAATTATAAATTCTTCACCTGCCATGCAAGTCTTAATGAATCAAATAAGGCCAAATAAATTCAAAAAGTTCTAAGACTTTACATGTTGCAGAGTTCAACAACTTTGTTTAACCTTCACGAGTTATTTTAATGTCTTTTTTTTGCATATAATCAATCTTAAAGAGCTTCACTCTTTGAACAATGTGCTACATTATTGTCGATTAGCAATTTAGTTTAGCAGTGGTGTAAGTTTTTCTAAGCCTTTCATTCTATAGAAACTGAGAAGGTGTTGTTTGCCCAGCATTTATTTATCAATATTTTTTTTCCAGCTGAGCTGCATACTGTATACATGCAGTTTTATGTCTGAATTCATTTCACGATCCAGAGCTGCACGTCACTCTGTTTTTCCTCTGCAGCTCCTGTGCACAGTATTACACAAACACACAGCAAAGTTGAAATGCTATGTAATATTATTCGACAGGATGTGGTGTTATAATCCACAGATGGATGCACTTTGTGAAGGCAGTCCATAAGCTTCTTTGTTAATAATATGTTCCATAACCACCAGTTCCACTCAAAAAGTATGTACAAGAGTTAGTTAAAGGAAACTATAAATGGGAACTGTATGCCAATATACTATTAATGTAGTAGTAACTGCTTAATGAGTAACAGGAAAACATAAGATGTACAGTAATGTGCAAAGGTCTCTAACAACCAGCTCTTATTTCTTTATATTTTGCTATGAAAATGGGAAGTTATGTCCACTGTTCTTCTAACACAACCTGAGCTCTCTTAGAGAAGCTTTCTTGTCATTTTTTAAGCTTCGTGAAGACCAATCAGAGCTCTTCTCTGGGTGTTGGATGCCTTTTTGTTTCATCTAATTTAAGGTGATTGCACACTGCTTTAATAATGCTGAGATCTAGGCTCTGGACCTTCATAACATATCAAATATGTGGCGTTCTTTAAATTAGCTCTGTTTTATGTCTCTTGGATGACACAAAATTAACAACATATGCAAAATAAAAGAAACTTTGGTGCATTAGATCTATACAGTAAGGAACATTTAGTCTCGAAAGATAAGATGCTCAGTAATTAAAAAGGAGCTGTTTAATTAAAGATATACAACATCATGAAATATTCACCACTTACACAAAGAACAATTTTCAAAAGCAATGGCACAAATGTTAAGTCAGTCAAAGTATGGAAATACATTTTCATGATAAATTTTGGTCAATGGCTGTATTTACAGGGATAAACTATTTCACATAGAAACACAGCAGTTCATTTAAAACATATATATTTTGAGGGTGCTGATGTGGAAAGAAAAAGAGAGTTTAGTTGTTATTATAGGGGGAAAGCATCATGTTTAATATCAAATCAACAACAGCACGGTTTAAAAATAGGTGATGGCTCTATAACATGGTGGCCACTACACTACAAGAAGCAATAGACAAACACAACCAGCTCTAGCAGACTGGAGATGATAACAGAAGCATTTGCGGGTTTATTAATAATTTAGCAGCCAAACAGAGCTGAGGGCAGTCGCGGAGGGGTGCTCTGAAGCCCTCTAAGCCATCTCCTGGGGCTGAAGAAGAATATGCAAGGTGTTTGAGTGAAGAAGAGCAGTTTTGTGTTTGAATCCACACTGCAACAACAACCACGTAGCGGCATGTAGTTTTCAATAAGCATGGGCAAATTCACATTGAGTCCCCTGTGTAAAATCAAGTGGATGGGTATGCTGAAATGGAGTACAAGCAGGATCATTACTGAATCAACGATGCGTTCAGAATAAGTAAACTTGAGACTGTTATTGAATATCGTTGGGGTTATTGCAATACCCTTGTGAACAAAGGGTACGATGCTAAGCTTGCTTGGCAGAATCCTTCCTAAACAGCTACTAATGAAAACAGAATAGGATGAGAAAAGGTGGTAGTATTTGAAAACAGGTCATCATGCTTGAGCAACGGATTAGGAAACGTTTCACCAACTCCTGGTCTGTATTGTGTGGCAATAGTGCCATCTTTTGGTAGGCTCTGAGGTGAATGATGAATCAGACTTCTTACTTTGAACAAAATGAACACACATGCACCGCAGAGCCTGCAGCAGCTAATCCATAAGCATGTACAGTACAAATGTGAGCTTTCGAGCGTGTTCTGAATGTGTTTGATTTGCAGCCGTCAATATCACTCGTCCCAGATTCAGTGGAAGTGATGAGTTTGGTTACACCTCCTTCGTGGCTTATTCCTCCATCCCGAGCCTCAGTATCTTCTACGAATTCAAGCTGAAGTTTACGCTTGCGGACGGTTCCTCTGCCGTCAAAGACAACCTTATGCTGTTTGCTGGACGTAAAGGACAAGGTGAGCACAATCCTGACACTTGGATAGCAATTTACATTATCTATGAGCTCCAATGAAAAAACAATTTGAGAAGTTTGCTTTGTTGGTTTTAGTTTCCAAACTGATTTGAGGATTTTGAAAGAAACACTAGTGCAATTTAGTGTCACCTGCTGTGTATGATAATGGCTGTCTAATGGAGTTCCACAAGTCTTTGAGATCCTCCGTTCCCTAAGGATTTTTCTTTCTTATGAGATTTTCAGGAATTAATGAGTTCAACACTTTGTTGATTTCTAAACGCTTGTTGTTTTTTACTTTTAAAAGAAGCATTCCTCGGCTAAAATCAACACGTGAACCGAGCTTCTTAAAATAATTAAACAGCTAATTAAATTAGATGGACTATTAGGTGTAAATGTGCACTGTTTTGGGGTCAGCAGGGTCTCCTTTCTGTGGAGCCAGATTTGGAAGCTATGCCTTTGTTCTCAGCATATTTCATTAAAGTAATAATAAAAAAATAATGATGGTAATGAAATAGAAACACTAGATCATGGGTCTTGTGCACTTGTTTCTTTTAAGAGCCATCAAGGTGGAGGCACAAAAAATAAGAGTAATATGAATGATGAAAGACTCAAACAACTGAAGAGCATTCTTGAAATGTTACAAATTCAAAGGTGCAATATATTTTTGAGGCCAAGCAGTAAAACTGCGTAGCCATCAAACACCATCATCTTCTCCTGCCCTTCTTACTTCTTCTTCCAGAACCTTCGGCAGCAGGTTTCATGTCTGCAGCTTGAGTACTTTGTTTGTCACCAGGCAGTTAGAAGTAAATTTATATGCATACGTCTCCAAACATTTCCCCACTTGTCAAAAACTTGCTGCCATTTTGAGGAAGAACAAATCAACTGTGTCAATGAAGAATAGGGGGCACTGCAATCATTAAAAATGTGTTTGCCTGTGTCCCTAAATTCTCTGAGAGATCATACCAAAGTTGAAGTCGACCTAAGCTGCGTTGATTAATTGACTTGGCATATGAAATTTTAACAAAATGTTAAAAGAGAGTATTTGAAAAGCCAGGCCATCCTTTTTCATATCTTATGGATACACATCTGCATCTGTAACCACCAACAAATGGCCGTCTAGATCATTTTATATAAGGAGTAGTATTAAATAAGTTTGCTTTTTTTTTGTAGAACTGCTTCCCTGAGCCATTAAACAGAATGAAAGATGAAAGCAATATTGGATATAACAAATGTATCATCCTTTGTCAGTCCACTATCTGATTAACTGCTTTGGGCGTGCTTCTTTCACACAGCCATTAACGTCCATTAAAAATCTCAAAATCCAAGTTTTAACAAGCCCAGTTTATATTTTCAAACTTACTACTAAATATCATTAAACAAGATCTGGTTGGCTTGATTAAACTCATCTGTCTTTTATATCATTTCCAACATCAAAGTTTACATTTTCCTGAAAATATAACGTTTGCAATGATCCCTATTACTGCACCGCTGGGCCTGTTGTTCATTATAGTCAACACTGGAGAAACTACTCCAGCTCTGCCGGACTTCATATTGAAAATACTCTTTTTAAAAATCATTCGACATATTTTATTCATAGATAAATCAGTTAAGACCCACAGCTACTTTAAATTTCTCACCATAAATATCATCCTCACTGCCTGGTGGAAAGCAGAAACGACACACTTGACCTCAGACTATCTCCGTCTTCTCGTGCAACTATCTGTCATAACCTTACGTTTAAAATCAATGACGAATTTCGCTGCATTGAGAGACGTAAAAAAGCCCGGAGCACCTTTTTATTTGCAGTTCTCTCATGAACCGAGACCCTCTTAGAAAAACTTTTAACTTACCCTATAAATCTAATCGCCAGGACAAACAGTGGAATGAGACCACTAAAAAAAATTATTTTCAAGACTTCCACAACTTCATCCTTTTATGTTTACTGAAACTGTGTTCATTTTGACTCCAAGAATTACTTTCCAGACATCTGACTTGAATATAGATCAATCAGAGATAGATTGGCTAACTTTCTGCAACATCCTCCTTATCATACAACTCAAACATTCAGCTAATCCATTATAGGTCTCACACAGACAACAGATCATCACTCACAAGTTGTACTGAAAGAGCTTCACAAACAACAAAGCCTTTACACATCGTCCCACCTCAATAGAAAACTACTTTATGACTCCACAGCAGCTGGACTCTTTTGTTTGGAGGTCATGGAATAGCTGTTCTTCAGTTCTCGCTCTATTAAGATAAAATTATCCATTTAGGAAAACCATTGTGTTTAGTCAAAGTATGTAAATGTATTAATGAAAGTGGAGCACTTTATTTTGCCTGTGTATTTTGAGTGTACTGTGTTGGAGGGTAACTTTCTTCATATTTTGTAGGCAATGATGGGGACGACTTCCTTGTTTTGGGATTAAAAAGCGGAAGACTTGTACACAGATTCAACCTCGGATCGGGGATAGCAACCATCGTTAGTGATCGACTGAACCATCAGATCAACATCCACACCGTCACGTTTGGAAGGTCTAAGAAAACAGGATGGCTGAAGGTGATTTGAAGATGACTGTGTCCCTTTTGGTAACTGTACATGTCTAGTGTGCTTACTGTATAGAGACATTCAAATTAAATCATGTAACCATTTCAATAAAATAGAGCGTCCCAGCCTAGAGGTACATGATCATTTAGTGCCAGGGTAAGTTTGAGGAGCTCACAAGATATTTAAAGAATCAAAACAACACCAAGATACACAAAGTTCTAAATATTTTTCTTTTGAAATACTGATTGCTTCATTCGGTCTTTTGGTCCTTCCAATTAAGAAATTAGAAAAATAAATCGCTTAATGGGACTCTGCTAAAGTCAATTCTATTTCATTCATTTTTAATTTTGTAGATCAGACTTATCTTTATCTGCTGTTTGTACACATTAGGTTTCTCGAACATCTGAATAGATAATGCAAAGAGTATTAAAAGTGGATGCAAAGATTAACTGAGGGATTGAATGTATAATAAACTTACTGGAAGAAGGGATTTACAGTAACTGTGATAAACCACTCAGTGAGCCCTGTTTTTACTGTGCACGTATTCACATAAAAACGTAAGTTTTTATCTTGCCTTGTTTTCATAGTGAGGGCTGATAAATGTTGCCATACAGACGTGAAAAACATCAGTTTTTTTTGTACCGACAGATAATTTTAGTCCAATGATCAGGGTAAGAGTGATTTTTATATATATTTTTGCACCTATCTGAATGCTGTGGGAAAATCCGCATGCTGCAGGATAGATACTATCGAGACGGCGAGGGCTGAGATCCCTGGCGACTTGCCTCAAAGGAGGCGGTTTCAGGGATGTATAGTCTGCTCCCTAATAAGTAGACATACGCTGAATCAGTCAGTTACGAATCCCAGGTCACAGATTTTTATTGCAGAGTTAGCAGATTATTATAGAAAGTGTGCTCCCTCACTGACAGTGAGCCGTCTTGAATATTGACATTTCTACTACGTGTGTTTCAGGTTGACGGCCAACGTAACAGGACAGGATTGTCTCCAGGACCTCTGGTGGGCCTCAATGTTTTCAACCAGCTCTTTGTAGGTGGATATAATGAGTACACCCCTGAACTACTGCCACTTGGCTCCAGGTTCCGTCATGGCTTTCAGGGTAAGACTGCTACGGCTTTATTAGAACGCAGCGTTGCTATCTGGAATAAGAGCACTGTGGCTTGGAGTTTCTCCCAGGATCTCTGTCTTTTTGTAAGCAGAGGGGAAGGTGTGTAATGAAAAGGGAGTTACAGGCTCAGACTGTGTATGAGGCCGGAACAAAGCTTTGAGGTTGATTGTATCTGCGCCCTGTAATTGCTTTGCACCCAATACAGTGTGTTGTGTGTAAATCCATTCCTCTGCTGATAAGTCACTTGAACAAGGGTGCTATCCAAATAATCTTTGTCATCATCAACATCATTTATGCTTTCTCTCAGGTGACCTCATGTAGGAATGCTTTTTGCAGAGCATTCATATTGCCTGCTAATGTGCAGAGCTGTGACGCAAAATTGCCATGACCATAACGATGACAACAGCTATGAATATCATCACGACCATATTCAGCAGTCTCTGCACTACAGCAGTGAACCTTGTTATTATAAAATGTCATGGCAGATCCATTTGGGGTGAACAAAAGCTTTTTATTTTTAAGGACTTGAGCGATTTTTTGTGTTTGCCTATTCATCATCATCTGATTCATTTTTCTACTTGGCAAATAAGCCTTCAAAAATCAAATCAGCTGCGATAAAGCATCAGTTTGCCCATGCGGTATTAGGCTATCACAGTTCCCTGTAATGGTAAGCACTACCGGAGACAGGCAACACTGGTGGAACCATAACCTTTCTACTCAGGATGTAATGAGAACTCATGAGAGCCTAATCAGATCTGTGTGACCTTCATCGAGCCCTAATCATGATGGCTGGCAGTGAACACACTGATAATGCACTTCACTCCCAGTTATCAAAAGATCCACACTCCCCTGTGGAAAGAAGGAAGAAGAGGCTGTGTGGGTAAAAAAAAAAAAAAAAAAAATCAGTCATTTTAAGCTGTTGATCAAATATACAGAAATGGGGATGTTTATCGAGCCTGGCGTTTGAAAACTCTGATTTCATACCGCTTTGATGCTGAAATGTTTTTTATTAGATTTCCTAAAAGATTTTGAGCTTAATTACCTTTCATTCTTGGACTTGCAAAGATCAGGGACATTAGAAAATGTTGTTTTAAAATCATTTTCCGGTTTTGTAAATCAAATGTTTCCCGAAAAAAGAACTTTGCCGCACACACGGGAAGGCTCGCTCGACTTCAGACCTCAGCTTTCGAGGTTCTTTTACAAGAAGCGATGCGCGCACAGCTGAAACAAAAATAATTATCTCGCCTAATCTTCCTTATGAATCTGCTTCGCTTTTTGATGGTCTGTGTTTGCGGCACCACAACCATCACTCGAGTCTGCCAAGCAGACAGCATCATGCCATGAATATTCATGAATGAGCATGACATTTCCCCTGCATCCTGTTTATGCCAGTGACTAATGCAGCAGAGAGAAGGGAGTCTGCATGTGCAGATGACTACGAGGGCTGTGTTCAGGCCTTATATTTATAGAAGGCCTTGTGCTTTGCAGGTGCAGGCCAAAACAAATATTGTCTTGATAAAACTGAATTATGAAACCAATAAGCAAATACGACGAGAGAGAGGCGTGATGGCGTGATTTCATGGTGGGAAAACATTGGACTCGAGTCCTTCCAACTCGGGCATCTTGGATGCGAACTAGACAAACTGCAATCTGAGAGTTAACATCTAATAAAGTTTTGTGGGTTTAAGTGTATGTCTCCCAGCGTGAAACCTTCACATGATGAAATAAACACCCATCAAAGAAACTCATTTCAAACCGTGCACGCATTGTCAGACGTGTTTTCGTTTGTGTTGGGCAGATTTTAGTATGCATACCTTTTGATCTCCGTACAAAGACAGTAAAGCGTGTTGCGTTTCATCTTATAATTTCCTATTAGGGAAAGACCGGAGAAGGAAACTGAAGATGAAATGAAATGCACCTCTGACTTGTGCGCAGGTTATCTCACGATGCATTTGTTCTTTTCAAAGGGTGCATTTTTGATGTGCACTTTCGCACAAGGAGAGACGGAAAGTTCCAAGCGCCGGGACAACCTGCGGGTCATCCAGCCTTTGGGCGCAGCGTGGGTCAGTGTGGCGTCACCCCTTGCGTTCACGTTAAGTGCAGGAACGGCGGGACGTGCGTGGATTCCGGCTCATCTGTGTAGTAAGTGCAAATTAAACTCTACGTGGGCTCATTTTCCAATTGTTTCTAATGAGTCTCCTCATGAATAACGCATGTAGGTGTTATTAATTAGCACAATACAGTAAACAACGCTGTGCTTTATGTATATTTCCATATGCATTGTGACTATGCTTTAGTAACAAACAGAAAACCGGTTTCGCTGTGTGAATGCTGCAGAAGGGGAAGACAGTGTTTACAAGCTTTAACACAGTGTTTGACTGTGCCCGTCTGCAGTTGCCAGTGCCCATTTGGATGGAAGGGAGCGCTCTGTTCCGAGACCGTGTCAGTGTGTGATGTCGAGCACAGCCCCCCTCCTTTGTGCGCCCACGGCTCCACCTGCATCCCTCTGCCGAATGGATATACCTGCCAGTGCCCCCTGGGAACAGCAGGAGTCTACTGTGAGAAAGGTTGCCTCACTGAAGCTGTGACCCTCACCTGCATCTGTTATATTTTTATTATTATTCATATTTTTAATTAAGGCCTTTGCTATTAAATTCTTTAACTGCTAAATTGTTTTTTTCTGTTCAGCTGTGACCATCAGTGATCCATTCTTCAGCGCTAACCTCTCCTCCTGGATGTCATTCCCACCTATGAGTATAAGACACAGGACTGATTTGCAAGTGCAGTTCCAGCCGTTATCACCTGATGGCATCCTCGTCTACATTGCGCAACATCTCAGTGCCAGAGCTGGTGAGGACAATTAATATTTAGGGAAGCTTTGCTTTTATTAACACTGTGTTAATTAATATGATTGCTGTAACATATTAGGCCATTTGCTCTTTTACCCCTCTATGCCCTGCCTCCACAGCACTCATTACACATACCAATTGCTATGTGTAGCTAGTAGTTCATGCCCAATAAAATTAGCATTCAAATTTAAATATGGTGAATATAATTTCAGTGTTAAGTATACTTATTACATATTCTTATTTGTTTTCCTTAAGCCTGACATTAAAAATGTAGAACACGGTGCTTTGGTCCTATTTCTTAAATTATAATGTCAAATCCTCTCGTTGTCGACTGTGTATATCAGTATTCTGCTGAGTGTCATATGATTGACAACAAAATTCAGACCAACTTAGGTAAAATTGAAACTTTTTATCTAAATATTGGAGTTATTAATCATGACATAAATGGTATTTTAAATTCATCAATGAGTTTATTTATGGCAATCAATCCATGCTGCTCTGACAAGTTGGGAGAGAATAAAATAAATATGTCTTTAGTTCAACCACTTACAACCCACAGACATATTCACCTGTGAGAGGGCCTTGAAATATTGAGACACAAAGAGAATGCATCCTTTATTTTTTATATACAGTTAGGTCTATAGGTTTTTTCATCTAATTTCATCATTGTACAGCACCACAGGTGACTTTAAATCATTGACAATGTTATTGAAGTCTCTCTGCCTTCACTTTTGTCTGCAGTAACTGAAAAGCATGCTTTATTGGACTGAGATCAGGTGAAGAATATTCCATTTCTTTGGCTTCAGAAACTCTTTGGTTGCTTTTGCTGCGTGATTTGGCTCATTATCCATTTGTGAAGCAGATCAGTTTCCAGCATCTGACTGAATCTGAGCAGAGAGCGTAGCCTTGTGCACTCCAGAATTCATCTCGCTACTTCTATCAGCAGTCACATCATTAATAAACACCAGTGACGCCCTCAGCCATACGTGCCCATGCCATAAAATTGCCTCCATCGTGTTTGACAGATAATGTGGTGTGCTTCGGATCATGAGGTGCGCCTTTTCCTCTCCATGGTTTTTTGTTGCCTCTCATGTTGGTACAAGTTAATCTTGGTTTCATCTGCCCAAAGAATTTGGGGGGGGGGGGCTGTGCAGGCTCTTGTAGATGTTTTCTGGCAAAGTCTTATCTGGCTTTCCAGTTCTGGCTTTCACTGGTTTGCACTTTGTTCTAAATTCTCTGCATTTCGATTCGTGAAGGCGTCTCTTGATTGCAGATCTTGATCATTTTAAGCCTGCTTTCTCAGGAGTGTTCTCAACGTGGTTCGATATTGTGAAGGTATTTTTCTTAACCATTCACTTTAGTGCATTTGCTCTTTTAGTAATATAGTAATAATACATCAAAACTGGTGAGATTTGATTTGGCCACAAGCTTTTGCTCTTTCTCTGGTGGGTTTATTTCTCCTTCTCCTTCCATTAACATCTCTTGGGATCTTCTGTTCAGTTCCAAAGAAAAGCCACCAAATAAAGTTTCAAAATCTTGAATCAACTCCAGATCTTTTATGTATTTGTCACAGAACAATAATTTTGTCCAATTACTTTTCAAAATAAAGTAGAGGGCACCTTTGAATTAAAGCTGAACCTTTGTATTTCAATTTAGAATACACTGTAGTGTAGAGAAAAAAAATACTACAAAAATAAAAATTTAAAAAGTCACTGGTCAAAAAATTGTGGGCCTAACTGCATCTGTGTCTAATGTTTAGTTTTTAAAAAATCAATAATAATGCCCTTAGTTAAAAGACAGTACTGTGCACATCTAATATTAATACTAATCTTTATTACGTTAAAAGTAGAAGAAATTACTTTTTTCAAACAAGTTACTCATAAATTGTTTTTTCCACAGGAGACTTCTTCTGCCTCTCACTGGCATCCGGGTTTGTCCAGCTGCGATACAATCTTGGGGACGGCACCCACATCCTGCAGTCCTCTGAACAAGTGGACTTAAGCGGCAGGACCTGGCTCACGGTTAAGGCTGGCCGAACTGGTAACCGAGGCTTCCTCAGTCTGGATAACAAGGAAGTTAGAGAAAATGTGACTGAAGGCATGGCCACACTCGATGTTGCTACTGACGTCTTCGTCGGAGGCGTGTCGACTCTGAGCTTTGTCTCCACGGATGCAACTGAAGGGGATCCTGTGAGCTTCACTGGTGGCCTGCGAGAGTTAACACTCAATGATCGAGAGTTTGAGTTAACAGAGAGGGGAGCTTTAAGTGGGGCCAACATAGGTGACTGGGATGGGACAGCCTGCGGGTACAAGGTGTGCCAGAATGGAGGTCACTGCAGGGCAACAAGTAGTGACTCTTTCACTTGTGTATGTCCACCATTATGGACCGGTTCTGTGTGTAACCAGTCTGTGAGCTGTGTAAACAACGTCTGCAAACATGGTTCCTTATGCGTGGCATCTAGTGTCACCTCGTATCACTGCATTTGCCCCTTAGGGTGGACCGGGAGGTACTGTGACAAGGAAATGTCCACAGGCACTCTGAAGTTTGTTGGAAACTCTTTTGTTAAATACTGGGACTCTAAATACAACACAAGAAACTTAAAATACACACAGGTTTCTTTCAGCTTTCTCACAGTCTCCAATGACAGTCTGATCATGTGGATGGGAAAGGCTGAACACGAAGATGATGACCACCTTGCAGTTGGACTTGAAGGGGGCTATCTTAAAATAACAGTCAATCTTGGAGAAAGACTTTCCTTCCCATTGGTTTTCAGAAATCTCACTCTCTGCTGTAACAAATGGCACAATGTCTCTATATCTCTAAATAGCACTGTTATTCAAGTGTTACTGAACAGCCAGGAGATCCTCTCTGAAAATGTAGATCCATTTGAGCGATATGTAGCCTTAAACTACGGGGGGCAGTTTTACTTTGGAGGGTTTGAACTGTACAGAAACATATCAGTTGTAACCTTGGAAATGTTTTCAAATGGCTTTGCGGGGAATCTTAGAAATGTCTGTTTGTTTGGAGATACCAAGCAAGGGCTGTTTCTTAAAAAAAGTGAAGGTTTTAATATCTTTGATGGAAACGAGTAAGTGAAACTGCAAGTTCTGGTCTTTACAACAGTAGGAAATTTACCTTTTAAGGTAGTTGATATTGTGTTTTCTAGTATTTAGTCATGTGAAAATCCAAGTGCACTTTTACCGTCTTCATGTTCTTCATACAGACCAAGGTGGAGATTTTTGGCTGTAATGCACAGTAGCACATTTGCTAAAAACCAAACAGCATATCAACACAGATGATTCCAACCAAGTGTCAAGCACAGTGGCGGAGGGGTGACGACTGGGACTTGGACATCTAATCAGAGTCGTTCATGAACTCCTCTGTACATTTAACTAAAGATTGTCCAAAATTGTGTCATGCAACAGGACAATGATCCCAAGTGCAGCAGCAAATCTACAACAGAATCAATCACCTCAACCTGACTGAAATGTTGTGGTGGAAACTTAAGAGCTGTGCAAAAACAAATACCCTCAAAACTCAAAGAGATGAAGGAATGCTGTAAAGGATGGGCCATAATTCTTTCATACTGATGTGAGATACTGATAGTCATACAGAGTAGTTATTTAAAGTTACTTAAAGACTGCCACTAACGGTAGTCCTCCAAGTACTGAATCGTGGAGTGCACTTAGTTTTTCACAGGACTGCATATAGTCCTGTTTTTTAAATTGAAAATTGAATTGTACTACTTGTTTCTTCAACACTTTACATACCAGTTCTGAGTTGCACTTAAAATTCAGTTTGATGAAACATATACATTTAAAGTGTTAAAGGACAAATTAAACTCTCTGATTCCTTGGCTGACTTTTCTGATTTAGATCACTTTCCAAACAAAAGGTAAAACTTAACATGACACCCATCTACCCATCTTGTTAATCCATTTTCTTTTGCTTAAGAGCTAACAAAAAGAAACATCGATGCACTAACCCCGCAAACTGCATGTCTTTGGACTGTGGGAGGAAGCCGAAGTACCCAGAGAGAACCCACTCACACAATGGGAGAACATGCAAACTCTACATAGGGGTTCCCCGTCAAGATGATGGATTCAAACCAAGGACCTTCTTGCTGCAAGGTCGCAATGCTAACCATCTAGTTCCACCACATACAGACCACTTTGATTTTAAAGGGACCAGATGAGTGAATCTCTCCTTTCTGTCAGTGTAAAGATGTTTACCTACACATTAAACCCCTGAGATATCTTAATATAAAAAGAAGTACAATTTCAACAGCACGTCTCACTTTTTCTATATGTTAACATGAAAATATGGAAAACATTCTGGTAGCTCATTGTTTTTGTTAATTCACAGAAAATATTAGTTTACCAAAATTTCTATAGATTGGTGAAAAAGAGGCACATTCCTATCATTTGTTTCTTTATTACTTCGTTCCTTTAACAAGAATGGCCATGGGGGAGGTCTTTATCAATAGGAAAAGCTGTAAAACTTAGTTATAAAAATACACTTTACTCAAAAACACATGCCCTCCTTCACTTTTCCCAATCATCCAGTGGACCAGATTGGAGTCTTTGCTGGGCCGATTCTCCCCCCCAGGCCTCATTTTTAACACCTCTGACCTAGTTGGTTTTAATACATTTTTTAGACAAAGAATTTCTTTAAATAATTAACAATAAAAAAAGGATCAGCTTTATTACGAACTGTACAATAACACAGTGCAAAGGCACACTTCATCTCTAATTACAAGTCAACATGTACATGCTTTCTCAATAGAAAGCAGGTTTATAAAATATTTAAGCAATTTAAAAGAAATGTTAAAAAAACAAACTCAAGCTGCTGTTTTCAGTTAAATACCTTCTATTACATTCAGGCCAAATGAACTCAGCATAAATTATCCAAGTGGTCCACTTGTTTGTTGTTATGTTGCCTTGAGACCGAAACCAATCAGTACAGCAGCTCAATATGAACAACATATTTACAGTAAAAAGTTTAAAAGTTAAAAATGTTCCAATATTGACTTTTTTTTTCTTGGTCTTAACTGAACTGATCCATAATATCATAATTCCATTGAAATTATATTATTTTGGCTTGTACGCTGAGTAACATAAAACGTAACTTTAGTGAAAGACACGGCATACAGATGCAGACTGGTGCGTAAAACAACTCCACCAGCACCAACCAAAGTGGTTTGTACCAGCTGTGTGACCAACAACAACCGAACAGTCCTCCTGAGAGCCCCAAACGCTCTCTGAACAAAATTATGAGTAACTGTCTTTTGAACTTCTCCGTCCATTCTCGTAATCAGAGTCCCGTCTATGTCTGTGCCTGTCCTTGTGACGGCTGCTGTAGTCATCGCTGTGATGCCTCTCTTTCCTCTTCTCAGCATAGCGGTCATCTGAATGTCCGTGGTGCCTGCCCCTCTCCTTGTACTTATCATCATAGCTGCGATCGTGCTTTTTCTCCCGCTCGTGGTGCCTGCTCTTTTTACCGTGATAGGAGTCCCTGTGGTAGCTGTGCCTTCCGTGGTCTTTGTCTTCTGTGTGTCGCGGCCTCTCCCACGGGTCACTGTATCGCTCCTCTAAACGCTTGTAGTCTTTGTCCACGGATGAGGGTTGGCCAGATGGTTCAGAGCAACTCTCGGGGTACTGTGACTGAGGTCCAGGGGGAGCCTGTGAAGTGCTGTCTTGAGCCCACTGCATGCTATGGTTCTGGTTCTGGATGTGAGGGGTGGGTACAGTATTAGAAGTAGGGGCAGATGGAGAATCATAGCTGCCAGATTCCTGAGGCTGTTGCTGCTGCAACGGGGACGGTCTTGTGCTGTTGTTTACTGGGAGAGCTGGTGCCATTGCTGGGTTATACTGGGACTGAGAGGCTCCTGTTTGACACTCTGCTGGAGTTCCTTGGACCGTAGGAGGATTCACTGTCTGAGTCAATACAGCACCAGCCTGCGCTACACCAGGCTCATTCTTTTTACAAGGAAACGACTGAACGGCTGTTTGACTTTGTTCTTCAGCTTTGTGCTTGGCCTGAGAGAGCTGTAAATATCCTTGGTGAAATGGGACGATTAGATCATTCCTAGTGCTGCTCAACACAGGAACAGGTTTAGGGCTGGAAGGATCTGGGAGGCTGGCTTTATCCTTCTGTGGCACCATTGTTTTATCTTCATTCACAGTGGAATATGCTGAAGATTTTTTCAATATTCCACTTAAAGGAGGCTTTGAGCTACTTGCGTGATCTGCAGCAGACTGGGATTTTGGCTGCAACAAAGAATTCCCTTCAGTTGTTTCTTTTTCACTTTCAGACAAAAGGCCAGTGTCGCCTTTGTTTGCCGACGTAGCACTGCTAGTTTCAGTCCCGCTTGGAGCTGCTGACAGGCCTGCCAGGAAGTCTTCAGTCGATACATCTGGAGGCTTATCTTTGAGTGAGACAGATGTACCCTGGCTCCCTACTGCAGCTTTCTTTTCCAGCGAGTTGGTAGCAGCTGATGTATCAGATGGGCTTGATAGCTCCGGTTCAGTTTTAGCAGGTTTAGCTTCTTTCTTCTTGATGACAAAGCGCTCTCGTGGGGCAGCAGCTGTTGGACTTTTTGAGCTCCCAACTGATGTCTCCGGTTTTGGAGCAGGCTGAGTCTTCAAGGCATCCTGTGCTGTACTTGAGGGTTTAAACCCAACATCAGGCAGAGGTGGTAATTCTCCACCCCAGCCTACTAGCACACCTGGAAGAAAGCGAAGGGGTTTCTGAGGCTCCTGATTGTTGGTCTCCTCTGGTGCAGATGTTTCTTCAAAAGACTGTGCAATAGGCTCATCGACATCTTCAGTAGTGTTAAGTGGTTTTTCCTTCTCCTTTTGAAGTGCACTAGTCAAGGAAGAGAGAAAAAATTTCTCATCCTCCTCTTTTGCCCTGGTTTCTTTTGTGGAAATGGCCACAGGTTTTATTTCAGGAATAATCCTTGCAGATTCGTTCACATCCACAGTAAGAAAATCCCTTTTCGGTCTCTGGCGAATAATAAGTCCAAGGAGGAGGTTTCCACGGTTGTTTTCTAAACCTGAGAAATTAAAAGATTAAGTTTGAACATTTAAAAAAAAAAAGAAGATTTTTTTTAATTTAATGAGAGAAAAATAATTGTGTTCCGGTTACCTGGCCCATCAAAGGGAACAAGCTGATGTGGAACTTTTTCTGTGGCACCTAAAGGGATGAGGTACATGTCCTTCACTTGTTTCAAATTATTGGACACCACCCCAAAACGCCTACGACTGCTGAAGTAGGCATACAAAAGAGTATAAGAGATCTCATCTTCCTCTGTCTCAGGGGAGAAGCGAATCAGGCACACTTCCTTTAATAAAACAAAAAGCATGTGTCAGTAAAATCTGTAACTCTGTTAAAAATCAGAACTTTTAAAGAGTGGTATTCAGTTCGACTTACTCAATATCAGGAATAATTAAAGCCAATTTATTTCTGTCAAATCATAAGCAAATCTCGGAAAACTTACTTTTGTTCCAGTTGCCCGAATTTTCTCCAAGTAGTCCCACACCGTCTGAGGACTAATCCTCCCACCAACCTGTATGCTATCTGGAAGGTCCTATTGGAGAAAAACCATGTTTTTAAATGAATAAATAAAAAGAGCACACCTTATGGAGTGTTAAAGATACAAAGTAGTTGGCAGTATTTGATCATTCATAAATCTGTAGTTACGTGGGAGTAATGTTACAAATCTAGTTCTTCCAGCTGGACTGTGGTTTATATTTCCTGTGTCCTAATAAACTGTTCTACAACAAAAAGTGTCAGCACATTTCTGCAATGTTTTGTTTTAGTTTTTTAGTACATAAATACTCATGTCTGACTGCCATTTTCTCCCTGTATCTGTGCTAAAAGCAATCTTTATCCCACTGCCATTCATCAGAACTGGCTCTTGCCTGGCTGTTGCTTAAACAACTGTGTCAAAGAATACTAATATTCAGGGTTCATACGCATTTTTCAGGGTCAAATTCAAGCACTTTTTAAGCACTTTCAAGGTCAGTTTTCATGCTTTTTCAGCACATTACCAAAAAAAAAAGAATGCATGTTTCACTTAGCATCACCTCAGTAAGGCCATGTAAAAATTAAAACAAATTGAAACAGACTGACATGCAAAGATGCTCGGCAGCCCAGGCAGAGAAATTTTGCTTTTAGACTTTGCGACTCATTTTATTTTTCTATCTGATAAGAAAATTATTTAGTCAGATAGTTATTTGTGTTGAATGAAATACAGTTTCAAGCACTTTTAAACACCACATCTGAATATCGGGCACTTTTCAAACCTTGAAAAGACAATATTACAATTCAAGCATTCTCAAGGATTTCAAACACCCGTACGAACCGTGAATATTTGTATTTATTGTCTTTCATCTTCCTCAATTTTTCTCTTTTCTGAAACACTTTTCATTGTCAACCATAGTTTACAACAGCTGTTTAAAACCCAAGTACAGTCTGATGTGTCAACTTTACCTCTGTCAAGTTGTCCAAAACACCTGAGACGGGAAAAGCTTTTGTCACCAACTTTGCCACAGCGTGCATATGAATGAATCCTTGCCACAGACACTTCAGGTTGGAAAGGAAAGTAGCTTCTTCCTCTCTTCCAGCTGCATGATCAGACCTGTGACAATGAAGGAGAAATGAATTAAGAGCTGAAAGAAAACATTATCCAGATCCAGACAAAATGTCTAAAACAACTGCTTACCGTCCTTCGTACCCTGTCTGAGCATTTTGGAAGCTCTCCTCTAAGACAGTGAGGTGCAGGTCATCGTCGATTGCGGGCGACGTGGTGCCCTTTGTCTCCTCTGTTTTGGTAGACTGCCTCCTAACCACTGTAGTTGCAACTTTAACCACTTTGGTTGGTGCCTCCTCAACAGGAGGTGCCATTCGACCTTCAGAAAATATAACACCAGAGATCAATGGTGACAATACTGACTGAGATGTTTTATTAAAGACACAGGTTAATCTCTAGTCTTTTTTTTGTCCTCATGTTATCATTTACCTGTGCAGATTTTACAGTGTAGGTCAAATAAGTGAGACTTGTGTTGGCTTGTAGTGTCTTTAGCTGTGTTAGCATTCTCTTCCTTCTTCTCTGGAGTTTTTGGAGGTTCTGCTGAGACTTCAGTCACTCTGGGAGGAGGTTCAAGCTGGAAAAAAATAGGAAATAAGTTTAAGCAAACACGTCACTAAGTCTGTTGCATGTAAACAGAAGCAATCTGTCGCTATATTCAACTTAAATGGATTACATGGGAGGAAAATTGTAGGAGCTTTTTACATGAGGCACAAAGATATGAATGCAGCACATTTCACAAAGTAATCAGACAGATGAACAGAACTGATGATGGTATATGAAGCGATGTAACTAATGTAAGGATACACATCTCATCACATTTCACTTACTATGCATGTTAAGCATAAACAGCACAATGATACCCTCACCTCTACAGGCTCCGGTGCTTTTACTGGTTCTTGACTTTCAATTTCAATTTCCCCTTTGTGTGTGATCTTAGTAATCGGCCGTCTCTCTGCCTCCCTTTGCTCTTTTTCAATCATCTCAATAGTCTGTAAAGCAAAGAATTAATTTGTTTTTGTTTTGTTTTTTTAAAATACAACTATCTTTAAAAATACACTGTTAAACTATTACCTTAATAATATTTACTCAGTTTAAATCGGACATCACAACTGTAAACTACTGTAATTTGTTTGGTAAATTTATGCAATACTACTGGGGGGAAAAAGACAAGCATTACTTACATGTCGGTTTTCTCTTTGTCGCCAAGCAGCCAGTTCTTTTGAGGCCAGTTCCTCGGGACTCATTCGAATTAAGTTAGCAGGAGAAATTTCACCTTTGAGAACCCTCTTACAAAGGATCTAAAAAGATCAATAAAGACAAAGCAAATGAAACTATTCTTATAGTAAAAGTGGAAACATTACATTTAGACCATGCCTGACATAAAATGATACTTACATTATTTTTAGTATCTTTAAGGTTAAACATTAAGCTTCTGTATTTGTTCTTGTACTTGTTGTCAGTGTCTTTATACAAGTGAAAAAGTTCTCGCTCTATCTTCTTTGCAAGTTCGGAAGCCCTTTCCACCGAGATGTTCAAATCAGAGTCCTTCAATCTGAAATGCAGAAAGTGCACATAGGCGATTATAAAGTGCCCTGATTTAAAAAAAATGTAACATCCACACATCTTTCGAAAGTGTTGAAAAACTGACCTCTGTACGAGGATTTCTTTCAGAGAATCACGCACACTTCTCCTGATTGCCTCCAAAGACACGGGTTTCTTTGAAGCCAAGGATGGAGCCTTATGTTTTGACTCTTGTTTCACTGAGACACCTGTGAAGACAGAGTGACAAAATCCACTGAGTGAGTGGGGGAAAATCTGTCGTCATAAAGAAACATTTATTCCACACAGACTTTGCTTACAAAAACTAATCCCAACAAAGGACATCCTGAAATCCTAACATTAACAAAAACTATGTACAATATGACACAGATATGTTTATACTTTATAATACACAATATCATTTTGTTAAATGTTACAAAATGGTCTTATTTCCAAGATGGCATGTAGAGTATTTTCTCATACGAACAATTAAAAATAAATACTTTTTAAAAGTCTGCTGTGAAAACTCAAACCAGAACGTGTAATTACATTTGACAACATCTGAGCAGATTACCATCCAAAGCACATTTCTAAAACACAAACAGAGTAAATTAAGAGCTGTCCAAAAACACTGCCTGACTGAAATCTGGCAGACTAACTTTGATCACATTTTAAAGAGAACGAGTAATACAACTCGTCTGCGTAAACGCAGCCGAGAACAAAATTATTAAAATCACAGATTATAAACACAAATTTATGCAACTGTTGTCTTCCATGCTGAGGGGGAGTGTGTCTGAAATTTAAAAAAAAAAAAAAAAAAGACTGTTGTATTTTCGTATTAAAAGGCTCACTGACTTGTGCTGCATTATGTTCCTACTTTAGTAGCTGTATGTTTAATAGAGTAAACTGATAAGTAAATACCCTGATGTCAACTACAGAAGTAATGCTATTACTTAAGGTGATGCAATTTTAAGCTCTCTCATATATAAATGAGACCTCAAAGGACTGTACTAACTGTCATTAATATACTGCTCATGTGCTGTGAAGGTCCTAAGTTAATTTTGTTTACACACCCAGTGAATGCAGCCTGGCCTTGAACCCAATGTGATATTAAAACAGGACAAAGTTAATTATACATTCAAAGCTAATGAAAAATTACCTGTTTTATGAGTTGCTTCTCGGGCATCTGTGGACTGCCTTCTCTCTGCATCCTATTGTAAGAATTAAGTCCCCGTTACATTAATTTTATATATCATAAGGCTGAAAACATACATATGACAACAACAACAACACACTTTACATTATACCCCTTAGCTAAAGTAAAAAAAAAAAAGTGAGCTTTTGGTGTGTAAAATCATACTAAAATATGGCGAGTGCACTGTGTTGATTACACACCCATGTGCACACCTCTTGTGCTGGCAAAGTTAAATCAAAGAGACAAACCATTGCATAATGGTAACAGTGGCTATGATTAGTATCAGTGGATAAATTAGCTGGGGAAAGATATAAATATTTGCTGTGTGTGAATAGTTTAAATCTATTAGATATAAATAAATATTTCTATTATGAGTTAGAGTTAACTGAGAGATACTGCTTACCTTTTTTACTGGTCTGACTCCCCCTGATGTGAGGGGTTGAGAGGACCCAGGACGAGGTTTAGGAGGCAGCTTCTGGTCAGGTGTCTCGCTCTTTGCTGGAGCTTCTGGTTTGGGTGCACTCGCTGGCTCAGGCCCCACCTTCTTGGTTTCTTCCTCGCAGCACTTCAAGCACACGTACATCTGGTCCTCCTCCTCCATTTCTCGCACTTTCGCCAGGTCAAGACCAACACAGTCACCATGGAACCAGTCATCACAGCGACCGCAACCTACCATAAACCTAAAAAAACAACAAAAAAAACCGAAGTACGATTATTAGAGGCGTGTTTGCAGCTTAGCACTGGGACAGAAACAGAATGCGACACAGAGGCAGAAATTCTTTTACTTTACAGCTGATTAAACTTGATTTTATATTTAGGTTAAGGAGCAACACTTACATGTTATTGTGGTGCTTTTTGCAGAGGCCACAACAGTTGTTTCCATCCCACACAGTCTCACTATTAGCGACTTGCTCGTCCACAGCGTCCTTCTTCACAACGGGCGCATTATCTGGAATAAACAGCTGCGGCTCGTCCACAGAGATGCTTCTTGCATTTTTACTCTTTTGTCTCTGAAGAATCTTCTCTAGCTTTTTCATTTTGGACTTTTCCTGCCCTCCTTCTTCAGATGTTTTTAAAGAATTTCCTAGATGACTGTGCGGGGGAGGAGTCTCACTTTTTGAGCTGTTTTGGGGCGTACTACGTTTGGCTGGTCCCTGCTGATCACCAACGCGGTTGCCAGATGATGGAATTTTCTTTCCCACAGAAGTAGGAGAACTTGGTAATTTTGGCTTCACTTTAGCATCTACTGCACCCTGTAGCTTTTGTACTTTAGTAGCATGCTCACTTTGAATGTTTTCTGCAGGCCTTTTCAAAGGTACAACATCTTGCTTTTCCTTTCCAGATTTAGTTTTGTGCAGCTCTCCTCTTGGCGTGATTTTGGATGGCATATTTTGGGTAACTTTATGCTCCTTAATTGTATTGCTTGTTTTATGTAAAACGAATTCCTTATTCTTTACTGATGACGGTCCTTGTTTAGGCTTTGGCAGCATTTTAGACACATTCAGTTGTTTTTCATTACCATCTGTCTTGTTACTAACAGTAGCTGTGTTGTTCTCTTTGCTCTGTGGCTGTTTAATAACATCATTTCCTTTACTGATTGGCTTTTGCTTCTCTGGAACACTCTGATTGTCAAGTTTTGCCTCTTTCGTGCCAGTATTTAACGTCCCGTTTGTCGTCTGTACATCATTTGGATTTACATATGGGCCCAGCCCATGACTTGCATCATCAGCTGAGCTCTTCTGACTTACATCCATCTCTTCCACACTCTCTGCTGCGGGATTCTGTACACTGGCTGCTTCATCTGGCAAAACTGTGAAACCAACTTCCCCACCGTAAGAAAAACCATCGTCCGAGCATGCAGACTGGTTTGCATCGACACCCTGTGTGTACGAGGGTCCTGGTAGCAATTCAATCTTGAAACCTCCAATTGTGACTGTCAGTCGTCTCAATACAACAGTTGGATTCAGCCAGACCCCACCATCAAGCTCATTAATGTTGACACGTCCTCCGAGAGTTAATTCTCTCTTTAGATCAGGACCTGTGACTCCTTTCTCAATAAGAAATGACTTGGATAGCCTGTTGGCTGGTTTTCTTGCCGGCCGCCCTCGGGTCATGGTATTGGTGGGTGTGTTAGGCTCCTGGTCACCACTGTGTTCTGTTTAAATAAACAAAAGCAAAACTTAAAAGCTGCTGATGTTCTTGGTGACTATTGGTGACTTGGTGACTCAGGGGAACAACTAAGCTGTAGTGCCTTTTCACCTCACTGTACAATACCTTGTGCAATACTTTTTTGTAAATAGTCAATGGTGCAATAGACCTCAATACTTGAAATGTGCAATTCACTTGTATTTTTATTTTTTATTCCTATTTATTCTATTTATCCCCTTCGTATATTTTATTTATATTGTCTCTGTATTTATATATGTGTGTGTGTATATATATATAATGTAACTCTGTAACTTCGGTCGTTGCTGTGCATCGAATTTCCCAGAACCCACCCGAGGGATTAATAAAGTTCTATCTAATCTAATCTAATCTAAAAGTGAAAAATGTCGTCCTTAAGCCGATAGAAATACGTCACAGTGAGAGGTGCACAGGCTAAAACGCCTGGAGCCATGCCGTGTGTGTGTGTGTGTGTGTGTGTGTGTGTGTGTGTATATATATATATAATATACTGTAACTGTAACTTCTGTCGGTGCTGTGCTTTTTGGAAATTGAATTTCCCAGAGGAACCCACCCGAGGGATTAATAAAGTTCTATCTTATCTTATCTTATCTTATTATGCTATCTTGGACAGGTCTTCCTTGAAAAAGAGGTTTTAATCTCAATGGGATTTTCCTGGTTAAATAAAGGTTAAATTTTAAAAGCAGACTAGTCGACTACTCTAAAAGACGGGGGAAAAAAACATAGAAAACATTAACTGAGTGCACTTTAAATGGAAAAAGTTCTACATTAGCAAAATAAATACTTCCTGTGTATTTTAGAGGACCTTCCCCAGTGAAATGTGCAACATGTTCCAGTGTGAATAGTTTTGCAAACACACACAATATCAGATTATTTTGCAGAGCTAGGGTAACCTTAGCAGTACTAGCACCGGTATCCTTTATGTATTTGGTTTTGTCTGTCCACATCTGGCTAAAGAATATGGTTACATCTGGCTTAGGTTGGTATTCTACTTTTTATTCTAAAAAAAAAATTGACACACTGCTGCTCTTTTATTCCTTTTCTTTTTTTTCCACATTAGTTAGTACGGCTGTCATCTATTTGCTTTGCCTCTTGCTTGTTTACAAAAAAAAAAAAACAGAGAGAAGAAGAGAAAAACAGTCTGTTGGGACTGGAGCCCTGTGGTGTCGTAACACCTTTGAACCAGTAACTGCAACTGTACATTAATAAAAATGCTAAATGTAACCAAATCGCAAGGGCAGCAATGTTTATGCATCTAGTTGTGTACATCCCTAAAAGTCTCACAGGGTGGAAAGAGAAAGAAAATAAACTTGCATCGACTTACCGTTCTCTAAACTGCGTGAACGTTTCTTCTGCCTGACATCAAGTTGCTTAACTTGTGCACTCTCTGAAACAGCTGGTTCAACAGGGAGGCCTGTGGGTGCCGAACCACTATCGAGACCTGCAAAAGCAAAAATAAATAAATGTAGTGTCCTCAATAAATATACAATTTGAAAAAAATGTAAAAACTGCGGTCCAAATTCAATGGCAGTCTGACACTGCTACATTTACAATAATACTGAATCCTTTTATATTGTTTCTTTAAAAGATGTTTGTATTTTTCTCCATCATTACTGAAACAACACTACTTTAATTTACCTTCAGTTACCCTAACGCTGATATTTACGTGTTGACAAGTAAAGAAGCACGGTGACAATGTTCCCTGCATATCTCAGTACAAGACGACCCTCTACAGTGTTTGTTTTTTGAAGCACCTAAAGAGTTAAAGTCTAACTGAGCAAAAATCAGCACAGATAAAATAGTCTGTAGGTGAAGAATCAGAGTTATACATTGAGTTATACATTAACAACTTAATATTTAAAACTTTCACCATCAACTTTTCAAGTAAAGTGTGGATGACTTTTTTTTCCAGGCAGCCACACATGCATTTGTTAGTTAACTTTCACTCAAAGTTTGAATCTACACTGATTTATCTACATTTTGGCCACTTTTTTGTGCCTTCAAACATACTTGTGGAGCCAGCAATCTGAAAAGCAGGGTCTTCATTTTCCAGCAGACTGAACTGAGTGCTTGCACATCCAAACATGGGATCTTTGTCACTGAGCATGTTCTTCAGTGAATCTTCCAGTCTGAGTCCTGTCCCAAACTCATTACTGGCTTCACACTCCAAATTCTGACCTATTACCAGGGAGTCATCCAACTGGTCACTGGGTATTAAATGGTTAAAGGTGTCCACAATATCCATGAATGCTGCTGCCTTCCTGCACCAAAAACAACACAGAAAAGATGCAGGAATAGCAGACAACTGATAAACTGTTAATATATGTTTCTCTGTTTGTTTTTCAAAGACAGCAACGTCTTTTGTTTCTCCCTGCACCACAGAATGCATCAAATTACGGGGACAAGTGTAGTACAAACTAAGCAAACCAACAAAAACACAAAATATTCCCTGATTTCGAGGGACAGCGAAAACTTTGTGACTGATAACAAACAAAAAACAAAGTTACAGCGAGCGATCGGTGCACTTTCTGAAGACTTTGCCATCAGTTCAGTGTATACATGTTGTATCTGATGAGCAAAGTGGTATATACCTTAAATCTCCACATATGGGAAGCCTCATCCAGCTACTCTGCAGTCCTAATACGTTAACCCAACGCTTCTTAGCCACTGCTATTTTTGTTTCTGTGCATTTTCAAAGACTTTTATCGGGTGAGTAATGTAAATACAAGAAAAGCATGTCTAAAACCAACGACTTGCAATAGTAAATGCTACTATTTTCACATCAAGCAACACCACGACTTCACAGCCTGGAGAAGGCCACAATCAGTGTGCAAACCAATAACGCTACATGAATGTTAGCAAACTAAAGCGCATCTCTGGACGCTTTTATTTAAGTTCAGCCAAAAATATCTTTCTGTCCACGAGAAGCACGGCGTTCCTGACGCCAGGTTTTGCCAATGAGTTGTTAGCTAGTTAACATGCTAACGTTTATGTCAGCTTATGACAATCGCGTATGTTAGCAAGCTAACGGTAACTTACGGAGGAAGTTACCACCCAAGCTAACTCACTTTTTGAAACCCATTCAGCCTTACAGGCAGCACATTTGTATCAATAAACAGCCGCGCCCGAAAATTTCAAAAGCGCCAAACAAAATGTGCAAACATATGGTTAGACAGCTCGACGATAAATATGCACAACGGCGAGCTAGCTAGGCGGCTATAGCACAGGCCCTAGCTGCCAAGTTTGTTTGTAGCCTGAGTGCAGCTAGCGGACGTTACTTGATGACCCCCCACATGCATCTGCTCCAACGCTTGCAGCTCAAATATTTACAAGTAGTTATTTTTACATATACATATTTATAGCACTCCCACCTCTCTTGTCGCGATGCTGTTGCCAACTCATGTACGGTTACATACTAGCAAAGCAGCTCCCAGTAACTTCCTCCAACTCAGCCGTCATTCGCCCCGATGCTGCAAAGTCCCTGACAGGCAGCGCGGCGTTGTCACGTGGCTTGTGTTTACAGGTAGCTTAGCAGCCGATTGTACAGAGAGAGCACATCTGGATGGTTTGTTTTTGTTGTGTCTGCTTTGTCAGTGTCCGGATGGTTAATTTTCACTAAGAGCAAGCGGTTTGTTTTTATCAAACTGTCGACCATCGCACTTAGAGAACACGAGAAGCTGGACAGGCTCGAAGAAAACTTCGCTTTATAAAACTGGCAAAGTTACATATTTAACACAGCCTGGTATTGAAAACAGTCGGTTACTTAGTAAAGTAGCTTTGCCATTCTTTTCTGAGTGCATGTCCTGTAATAGAAACATTTTTATATAAGAAAAAAGGCAAGCAAAAGCTCCTTAAAGTTTAAGTTTAACTCTTCGAGGGCTCATACTATTCATGATGTTTGAGTTCATTTGAGTTAAAATATATAAAATCATGATCATCAAGGATTGTTATTTCTTAAGCCGTTTGCATATCTCTCATACTTCCATGTTTCAGATCATCAAATATATTTAAATGTTAGACAAAGAACGTAAGTAAACACAAGAAGAATTTTTAAATGGCAATTTCATATATTAAGGGGAAAAAAGCTATCCAAACCTACTTGACCCTATGTGAAAAAGTAATTGCACCTCTTTGGAAATCATGAATTAAACGTGAACCACATTTTTTGGAAAGCTGCGTTCAATGTTTTCTAGACACACCTGGGGTTGATTTCTGCCAGACCCAGGTATTAAGAAATCACTTTACTAGAACCTGCCTGACAAAGTAAAGTAGACTAAAAGATAAAACAAAAAAAAACCCCCAAAAAAACAGCATATCATGCCAAGGTCTAAAGAAACACAAGAGCAGCTGAGAGACAAATGTCACTGATATCTATCAGTGCGAAAAGGGTTACAGAGTCATTTCTAAGACTATGGGAATTCAGCGAACATGTCTTCATGAGTAAATGACAAGAAAGATACTTTGCAAAAATGACATCAATGCAGTTCCAAGGTGAAAACCACTGCTGACCAAAGAGAGTGCAAAGGCTTGTCTTATTTGCCAAAAACATCTTGATGATCCTTTGGTTAGAGAAAATAAATGAAGCTTTCTCCTTTGCTCAGCAGATTTGAATCTTGTAGTGAATAACTTCTTCAGATTGGCAGTTAATGTTGCATTTATTTCTTTGAACATAATGAATGACATTTTTGAGTCAACCTTATCGTGCAGTTTTACTAACTGAGATTTCAGAAAACAATTTGCTGGTGTAATCTCTTGAACCCATCTTGTGTGTTATCCAAATATCTCTTTTCTATAGTGTTGGGTTTGAAACTGATGTCATATACTTTACACCCCAGACCAGCACAATAACCGAGATATGAAGATTAAAAAAGAATACAAAAATGTAAGCGTCTTGCAGTCTAGTTGTTTCAAAATATTAAGTAAGGTCAAAAATGTTGTTTAAATGATGAATGAGATGCTCATGAATGATACAGTCTGCTTTAATAGGGATGCTTAATTAAATTAATTAAATAAAAGGATGGATGTGTTTCAGTTATTTAAGATTCAAGAGATCAACATTAAAAGAAATAACACATTTGCACATACTATATATATCCTTTATTGCATTCATCCATTAGTCATCACTCAGTGCAACTCTACCTATCACAACAGGATCTAACATTACTTCAATATAGTCTTTCAAACAGTGTAACTTTGAAGTAATTTTTCATTACAAAATTTAGGAAAAACGTTTAAGAAGTCAGACATCCTTTACTTGGAAATGTGATCCAGGATTCAAAGATTAAAGAGCAAAGATTTTCTTATCAAAAAAACAAGAACAAATGAATGCACTGAGTCATGCACTTCTATGTTTAACACTTACTAAACTTCAATCTCTAAAAATTTTTTTTACCACATTTTCACAGTATATGTATGCTTATTTTAATATTCAACCTTTAAAATAAAAAAAATGCATTTTATTTATGTTGAAGCAAATGTGTTTAATAAAAGTTAGAAAAAGTGAGTTAAAAATTATAAAATTTAATTATATAAGAAAAATTATAACGCAGTCTCACATTGCACAGTGATTAATAAGAAGAAATAAGTGTTTTTTTATTGCTTTTATTGGGGCAACTGCTCTTTTAATCTCTCATGCGGGTCTAATCCATACCACAGTACATCCTGTTCCACAGCAGCCCAAGCCATTCGCTCAGTGGTAAATGTGGCAGCCCAGTGGCCTGAAGGAGAAACAACAATTGCACCTCCGGCTCCTTTGACACGGTCTCCCATGTGCTGCAGAGACATCTGCGAAGCCTCTGTTACTGATTTACCTGTAAAGTGGAGAAGAAATAGGAACACAGGCGGCTAATGAAAAATGGAAAATTAACTTCAGCTTGTGTTATTTCACAGCACATTCTCCTTTAATAATTGCTTCTAAGATCTTCTTAATCTGCTCAGAAACACAATTTACTAAATAACTGTGAGAGGCAATATTGCAAAACTGGAATTACTCACATGAGTTGCATGAGTTGCACTGTTCAGGATAATGGACTAAAACATGAAGAACTGATAAATTCCCATAAACAAACTGTTTGCGTTTGTGATACTTTACCTTGTTCAATTTTTGAAAGAATGAGTCTGGCCAGTGTGACTTTAAGAATAGATTCTCCATGGCCGGTACAGGATACTGCACCACTCAAGTTGTCTGCATATCCTCCACAGCCTTATTTACATGAGACAACGTGAACAACAGAAGCAAACATTAAAACACCTTTTTGCAGATTGCAGTGAATATGCTAAAGTAACCTGTAGTAAAGTGAAGAGTATGATTAAATGAAATGTTTGGACAATGTAAGGTCTTTGGTTTGACTTTATCATTTTACTGTCAGTGTTAAAACAGCAGTTTTAGAAGTCATACCAATGACTGGGGAGTCTCCTACTCTTCCAACCATTTTATTCCTAATCCCTCCCGTTGATGTTGCACATGCGACATTACCAGCAGAGTCGAGAGCTACCGCCCCAACGGTATCATGAGCCCTGGGATGAAGAAATGTTATATTATTCAAAAAAAATCAGCTGCAAAAGAAAATGCAAATTAGATCTGAAATGTTTTCAGACATAGCATCACAAGGAGGAAGCTCATTTGATTCATTAAAACACACAGTGCTTAGACAACTGATCAATGTAAGGTTGATGCCAAAACTGGCCCAAATTTCAAAATGTGACCTTTATTTGCCTAATAAATATCAATATCATTTTTAGTTTTTGGAAATTCATAAACCTAGGTCTAGGCTGCTGGGGGCTTCCTATTGGTGTTTCTTCTTCATTCACCTTGTTTATTCTCTGTGTCTTTATGTGCCATTCTGCATTCAACTATTAATAACTAATAATAACCGATGATTAAATGCTCCTTTCTACAATATGTCTTCTGTTCTGTCTCTCTCCCCTCACCCACCGGCTGTCGCAGCAGTTTCTTCCTTTTAAAAGGGAGTTTTTACTTCCCACTGTCACCAAATGCTTGCTTGGTCTTTTGATTATTTGGGTTTTCTCTACCTTACAATATAAAGCACCTAGAGGCAACTGCAGTTGTGATTTGGCGCTATATAAATCCAATACAACTGAATTGAAATTGATCCCGCAGATGCATACCATTGAGTGTTGAAATCTTCTATTACTCCAGTCATGTAATTCTTGTGCTTCTCCCATTCTCTCCTCTCATACTCAGTCACCAGTGTTTCAGTGGGGACTGTGCTTATACCAATGCTTTCTGCAAACAAGTTTGCACCTTGGCTTGTCAACATTACATGGGATGTCTGAGGAAGAAAATAGGTAAGACAAAATTGAAACATTAAATAAATCTCACAACACTGAACATAATGTAGCAAACATAACATTGCTATAAGGTACCACTAGATACAAAAGCAGCTTCATGTATCAAACTGCGATTCCACAGAAATGCCCTAAAAATGACCTTAAAGTTACAATCATAAAAGCAACAGGCAGGATACTGGCCATGCACACAAGGAATATCTCCCTCTGCCCAGAAAGTTATCCAGATGCCAGCTTGAATTATAGTAAGACACCCTCAATAACCAAGTTTACCAATAAGACTGTGTTTTCTTTGCAAGACCTGAAAAGAACTTAGAAAATTACTTTGGGGGACTTCATAATTTGTTTTCAGAATGGACAATTCAGGGACAAATGACTGTGTTATTTCCAGAACTATATAATAGGCTTTCTATTACTCTGTCCTGAGCCTGAGGGATTGCCTCGCCACTCTTTGGAGAAATCACCTGTGCCTCTACCATACATCTATATATTCATATGTATACCAGCAGTGAAAACACTGCATTTGCTTTACTGAAGAAATGTCAAAATGGTACTAGAATGTGGTCAATATAAATTATTTAATCCTGTAATGTCCTAAACTGAATGTTTTTATGAGATTTACTGTAAGATGCAAATATTTATTTGCTTTTCATTTACTGTGTCATTAAAAACTCGTTGCCATGATTTCTTTAGTTTATATGAAAGAGTTACTTTTATACTTTTATATTTCTTGAGTCTTATGAGGTAGTATAGACCAAGTGGCAAGGAAGGTGATAAGTAGATAGCATCAGCATACCGGTCAAGTTTCTTTTAAGTGTACTTTATTTCTGGCATCTCCGTTATACCATTTTAAAACTCTGGTAGGTAAAACTCTCACTTGCTTTATACAGGAATTTAAACACACCTGAACCTCATTAGTTTCTACCATTGAAATATAGGTTAGACCAAACAATATGATTCCAAACAAAAAAACAGGAATAAGATTATGAATCCGATTGAGAAACTCATTTACACAGTTAAGTGGTTTGAAAAGTTAAACACTGCATACAATACAAAT